AGAAACAAACAATGAGGAAAGGCTGAGGCATTTAATGCCTTTTTTGCTTCAGTCTTTAATAGTAAGATCAGTTGTTCTCTGAGTATCTGGCTGCATGAGCCAACATTGCACCAAAGGTGGCCAACAGCATCCTGACTTGTATCAGAACTAGCATGGCCAGCAGGATTAGAGAAGTCATTGTCCCCCTGTACTCAGCACTGGTGAGGCTGCACCTCAAACACTGTGTTCAGCTTTGGACCCCTCACATGACAGCATTGAGGTGCTGGAACATGTTCAAAGAAGGGCAAAGCTGGTGAAGGGTCTAGAGAATAAGTCATATGAGAAGCAGCTGAGAGAACTGGGGTTGTTTTGCCTGCAGAAAAGGAGGCTCAGGGGAGAATTTATCCCTCTCTACAACTCCCTGAAAGGAGGTTGTAGCAACATGGGTGTCAGTCTCTTCTCCCAAATAACAAGTGATAGACAAGAGGAAACAGCCTCAAGTTGCAGCACCAGGTGAAATTTAGATTGGACAGTAGGAAAAATTTCTTCACTGAAAGGATTGTCAGGCAATGGAACAGGCCAATCAGGGAAGTGGTAGAGTCACCATCCCTGGAGGTATTTAAAAGATATGCAGTCATGGTGCTTAAGGACATGGTTCAGTGCTGGGTTTGGCAGTGTCATATTTACAGTTGGACTCAATCTTAAAGGTCTTTTCCAACCTAAATGTTCCTATGATTCTGTAAGTGCATCTTGACTATAACTTAAGGCACATGGCTATCTCAAAACCAACTCCAGAAAATCATGAGCAAGTATCTTCCCTTTCCTTAGTATTTAACAGCTATGTATATAGTAAGAATTTTATAATGGTAGTAGAAACATTTTACTACATTGAACAAGTGAATTTCAAAAAGGATGATACCCTTTTTAAAAATAGTAGTGCATGTTCCTTTAATTATTCTTTCAGTCTTCATTGGCATTTTAAACAATGAACTGTCAAAAACTTGTTGCCTGAAAAAGACCCATCATCCTTCCACCCCAAACAACTAGTGGTTATAAAACAAATACACCTAAGTGTTACAAGAGATGCCAGTTATTAGGAAGTAATTTCCCAGAATGTTCCAATGTGAAGCTTAAGAGCAAAATTTGGGTAACACGTGGAATTAAATAATTAAAAGCAAAACCTTCAGTTTTTATACTTAGTTATATAGAAAAGTGTTGGTAACATTAGCAGCTATCAGAACAAAAAAATAAAAGCTTCACTAGCTGTATATACTCATCTTTGTTATTCTCGACTACGACAACTGTTGTTTTAAAATTCCATTGCTGCTTGTCTTTGTATAATAAAGACTACTCACACTACGATGTTTCCATTATACATCAATAAAATACTTTTTTCTTTGGGTCTTTCAAAGTAAACCATACTAATAGGGATGCGCAGGCAATACGACAATGTGTTGCACATTCATCACTGAGATCATGAAACTTATTAACTTCTCACATAATATACAACACAGTATATTGTGAAGTTGTCACAGCACTTTGAGATGAAAAACCCTATTACGGCTGTAGCAGTGTTTTGGTTTTCATACATTTGCCAGTTCTGCTCACGTTTCCCAATTTCACAAGCTGAAGACAGCTGAGATGCCACTGGCATACTTCTGCCTTCCACCCTTCCATGACAACCCATGACAGTTAAATCCCATAGTTACCTTTCCTTTGGGCTTCATGAAGTTTGCATTTGTTTACTTGGGTAATCTGTCCCTAAACGCTCCTTAATCTGAATAGTTCTATTTAGTCATCATTTCATTTTCAGTAGCGAAGTTCTTTTCCTTCCAAAACACTTAGGAGTCATCTTGCAGTCTACTCAGTAAAAAAAAAGACTCCAAACATTTCCAATCCTTCTTCCCCTGACACCCAGGCAGTACAACCAGAACTCCTTTTTGTATAGCCAGATGAGCCCCCAAATCACTACATCTGTTGTGCTGTCCCATTTCTGGTTCCTCCTCCTGGCTCATTCCCCCAGTTCCTTCCCATCTTAACTGCTCTTGCTCCTGCATCCTTTCTTTCCTTGACACTGCACAGGAGTGCTTCTCATTGTGTTTCCAATTATGAAGCACATTTCACTGCCTTTCCTTCCTTTCTTCATTTCTACCTCTGAAGTTCAAGTCCACTGAAATGTATGACCACTATAAACTCTTCTTCACATCCTTCCACCACTCCCAATCAATTTTTAACTCCTTGCTCCCTAAGGCATACCACATTCCAAAAAGGCACTTCTATGTTGCCCAATGCTATTATTAATCACTCCTGCACTTTGTTCAATACTTCTCTCACTTGCTCCTTCAGCATCTCCTTTATTTTTTCTGTGGACAAGGTTTGTTAACTTCCTCCTATTACCCTCAGGCAACATTATCTGCAGTCCTCTATTTCTGAATTTAAGAAATTTAGTACTCTCCACTTGTCCCCTCCGTCAAGCTGTCAACACCTCAAACTAAGCCGTGAAAATAAAAAGGCAAGAGATACCTATCATCCCTGTCATGCATGTAGGTGCTCTAAAATAACTCTTTATCCTATCCTTGAAGTCTGTATTTGAGACTTTTTCCTCAAAAAGTTAAGCCTTCCCCCTTTTCTCCCACCTACCAAGCCCTCTATCACTATATGTGGGACAGATGTAAATACTTCTTTCCAGTTAGCTGGAATTTATGTAAATCTCTCTACCATCTCTTTTAGAAGTCACACTCTTCTTTCATTGTCTGACAATTAATCTTTCTGAATCACACCCCAGAGTAATTTCTTCAATGTGCCTGTCCTGTTCAAGCCCTCCTCCCTTGTCCTTAAACTTGTGCCAAAGCTTGCATTGTTCTAGATGTCTCATTTCTCCTAAGCCTATCTTTAGGTCACACAATGAGTCACACTACCACCCAAAGCCAACTTGCCACTTCAGCAGAAAAACTGAAGTTTACACTTAGACCTCCAAAGAGTTCATATCTACAGTACTTTACAGAAAATTCACTTTCTAGGCAAAGATCACTGAAGCCTCAAGTGACCCTCCCCACTGCAAACATCAGTGTGCTGTTCCATTTTATGGAGTACCTTATCTGAACATACGTTATATAGAAAATAACTGAATTTAATCCGAGACAGAAATATACTTAATAAAAGGATCATTAAAAACATTTATGTTTGTTAGGTGACAAGAAAGAGGTCCAATGGTAAGCATTATACCCAACAATTCTGTTATTTAACACTGAATCCACAATGTATTTAACAATTCAAACACACAAGTAATAATAGTGTACCTTTATTTTAACACGTGTACTGCACTGATGCAGTAGATACAACACCAGCAGTCTTCTCTTTGCACAAACTACTATCAATCAAGCTTTTAAATACTTAGATCACATTTCTAGGTGGAAGCAGCATTTAGTGCTAAGAATAAGAAAACACTGATGTTAGCCATATCTTGGCAACTGTCTGCACACATAGTGCAGCACAATCATAGCTATTTTCCAACTGGCCTTAAACATGGAAAACTGATCAGCTATAGCAGTTTGTATTTGAAAACTTTAGCACAGAGAGACTTGCTTTCCTTAAAGAAAAAATTATACACTACAGCAACAAATAAATAGACCAACTGTGTATATATTTGCTCAGAATCAATTCAGCAACTTAAAAAAATATAATGTTCAGTGTTTGCTGAATTGCTTTATACTGCATCTATCACTTTAAAAAACCTACATTTAAAAAAGTTTAAAGAAAAAAATCCTCCAACTCTTTATACTGTATCACTTGAAAAGGAAAGATTTGCAACCACTGCTGCCTCTTACTATCAATATGTAATCCAGGTCCCCTGGTCATTCCAGGAACTGATTACAGAACACCCCTGCACACCTAACATCTCTGCTCAGGCAGCCTTGTGCAGCAACACTAAAGAAAAATGCCTTGGTACAGCAAGCCAACAAGCATCTTAAGTCATCTTCCAGTTCACAAGTTTCTTTGCTACCCCCCCCC